TCTATTAGCAAAAACAAAATATTTCTCTCCAGAATCTCTTTTACCATTCGTCCATGCTTAGAATATTACTGCCATACATGGTCAGGTACTCTTGTTATTTACCTTGAGATCCTTGATAAAATCCAAAGAATCAGCAATATTATTGGTCCTGATCTGGCGGCTCGGTTTCAGTCACTTTCCCACTGCCTTAATGTTACCCCTCTGTGTCTTTTCTATAAATACTTTCATGGTAATTGTTCAGATGAGCTCTTCACTGGTGGATGCGGGGCGCCTTTCGTTTTCGTGTGAGTGATTCTTTTCGTATTTGTTGTTGTGTCTGAATGAGTGCATGTCAGTGTGAGTGATTGGGATGAATGAATGGTTTATACTATTATAGTCCCGCATTGATTTCGGCCAGTGAAGTGATGTTTCTGTCACATTTAGTAATTGTGGGGGGTTTTATTACTAATCTGATTTTCTTTAGTTTCTTGTAAATTTTTTTGTATGCATATTGTAAATACTCATTGGGGTTAACTTTTAGAATTGTTGTTTTATTCCCCCCCCCCACAGACAACGAATTGTAAATATGGGGACTAATTAGTATTTTCATAGAGACAAAGAGGTATTATGGTGGTTGTAGTAAGAAAGGTACGAATGAATGTGTTGTTTTGGTGAAAGGAATATTGTTTCGTACGATTGGGTCAGTGTTTGCGGCTAGCTAAATTATAGTTAAGACAGAAGAAGACCGTCCTTTCCCCAATCCCCTTTTCGGCCTTGTGCTACATTTCTGTATTAAACAGAATAAATATCGCTCTTCATTATGGTATGCAAATAAATTTGTACTCATATTGTAAATACTTATTGGGGCTACGTTTTAAATTGTTGTTTCATTCTCCTTCTCCCCACAGACAATGAATTGTACATATGGGGACTAGTTAGGACTTTCATAGAGACAATGAGGTATTATGGTGAGTGTAGTAAGAAAGGTAAGTAAGAATGTATTGTTTTGGTGTTAGAAATATTGTGGTATGTTTGGGTCAGTGTTTGTGGCTAGCTAAGTTTAAATTTAAGGCAGAACAAGGCCGTCCTTTTCCTCATTCTTCATTTTTGGCCTTGTGCTACATTTTCTGTATTGATGTGGAAATAAATATAGATCTTCATTATGGTATAGAGTTTTTGTTCTTTTTTGTAAATATTCATTGGGGTCTGGATTTTTAAATTGTTATTTTGTTCCCCTCCCACCACCGACAATGAATTGTACACATGGGAACGAATTAGGACTTTCATAGAGACAATGAGGTATTATGGTGGATGTAGTATGATAGGTAAGAATGCGTTGTTTGGGTGTTAGGAATATTGTTTGGGTTAGTGTTTGAGGCTAGATAATTTTAATGCTAGAACAGATTAAGACCGTCCTTTTCCCCATTGCCCTTCGGGGTCTTGTATCACACTTTGTAATTTTTACGAATAAATATCGCTCTTCATTATGGTACATTGGGGGTGAGATTTTTAAATTGTTGTTATATTCCCCATCCGCCACAGACAAGAATTGTAAATATGGGGACCAGTTACGACTTTCATAGAGACAATGAGGTATTATGGTAGATGTAGTAAGAATGTTAGTAAGACCGTGGTGTTTTTGGTGTAAAGAATATTGTAATAGGTTTGATTGTGGCTACCGAATTGCAGTATTTAGAAGAAGACTATTCTGTTCCCGATTCCCCATTTTGGCCTTGTACATAATGCAGAATAAAGATCGTTCTTCGCTATGGTACATGGACTTTTTGAATTTAAGCGCTGTACTAAACTAGCGTTGGGATCTCATCAATTTACAGTTGAGCTGCCGAGTAGCAACCGTAAATTCTATGCTAACAGTTTCTTTTATCGCACTTCTCGCTTGTGGAACTCTTTTCCAGCTCCATGTTTTTCGCCCAGCTATAATCTTCAAAAATTTAAATGCAATGTCAATTGCTATCTACTGTTCTTCTGATTACTTTTTCCTCTTCCCGCTCATTATTAATGTTTCTGTTCCTAATTCTTCCACACCCTGTAACCCGTTTGTGTTTTAGTAGCTTTTGCATGGAATGATACTGATTAAAACGAAAAAACAAAACAAAAAAAAAACAAAAAAAAGAAGATATTTCCTGGCCTTTTAATCCATAGCTTTGCCCTCTGAGATATAAACGCAAATACTTGTTATTAAGCATGAATCACCTTCGGTACTCTTTGCGTTAAACAGCATCTGAAACAGATGTGTCGCGTTGTACGCTGATTGCCGTAAATAGAACCCGAATAATACATCCAATCAGATAAACCTCATCCACCGCCATCGTGGTTACTTCCTTTTCTGCTTTATTACCGAAAATGCACCAGTAAGAAAATTACCCGAATAGCTTAAGGGCAGTAACAAATGAAATCAAGATGTTTCTGGTAAAAATTTCAATTGATTTATTTTTACGAATATTGATTACACATCATTCATCTCTACCTGTTTCTGGTTGCAGGTATTATTACCGGCTTTATCTGTAATCAGATTTTGTTTTCTCTGAATCTATCTTAGCTTGTGTTCTTGCGTCGAGGAATAATTTTAGTTAATGTCTTCGAAATGGGTTTTACTGTTCAAGTTAAATCGCCTTTAGACACAGGAAAATTTAAACGCAGATAGTAATTAATCAACAAAACGGCAAATAAAACTTGTCGCTGAGAATGTGAAATGTAACTGTTTTAGAAAATCTTTTCTGAGTAAATATATCCATCTTCAAGGAATCAGAGACAAGCGAAATTTTCGTTTGTCTCCCGATCCGTATATTTTAACTATGTTATCGTCAATCAAATATACACCTTTGTGCAAATTAATTGAAACAACCGCATTAGTTTCCTTTTCTTCACCATACGGACAATTTTACACCCACTGGTCTTACAGGGTGCAATCTATTTCTATTTTTTCCTCAGATAAGATCATTTGCAGTGGTGTGCAGTAATATGAATGTATTTTCGAGGTGTATGATGAAATATGTTTGGCCTTGAAAAATACTGCGTTATCCGTGTTTGCATCGGATTTTTATCACATCCAGGCACTATTGTCTCGACTGTTGATTACTTGTCCTACAGTCATTGTCTGAGATGGACGTTACTTCAAGGAAGCGGACGAAAATTGTAATGCTGCACGAATACAATGGCAAACCTTACCAGTGAGCAAATCAAAGTACAATAGAGTTAGCCTGGAAACTCTCCTGATTTAAATCCAATCAAGAATCTTTGGTCAATCTGCAAGGAATGACTTCGTGGAATGAATATACGAAGCACTAACATGTGCACTGGTTCATGTTTCATTGAAAAGGTACGAAAAAAGTAAATAATAACGGAATTATTCGTCTACGGGGGATTTTTGGCTAAGCCTGCGGGCTCGGATACCCCACATTAAATTCGGTTATATGTGACCGGCGTCGGTCGATTGGTAGATATCCTGCAAGTGGACATTCATTGTGGAATTCACTTGACTCACTTCTGGTAGTTGACTACTACTTCTACCCGCCGCTGGCGAATCTTATATGTGTTGTTCTTGTCCTAAGTATTATCGTTCATTATCAACCATCGTTGATTATTCTGTTCAGTACCCTTCCTTAGGTTACAACACTCACTTTCACTCATCGGCAACGTTTATTGCTTCAAAAGCGCACACCCGCTTATTGGTTAATAAGGCGTGTTGTCCTTTTATGATAGTTAATGACCACATATCGACCGAGTCATTCAGGAAAGGATTATGACATAAAATATGCATGATTTTCCTCATTGTCTTTACTCTCCTGATAAGAGTGATCCGACTATCACTTTTTCAAATCATTCTGACATTTTTAGACAGAAAACATTCCTTTAATCGTGAAGAGTTTAACAGTGATTCTGGGTGTTGCTCTGCATAGAAACCGAAAGAACTGTACTGAATTAACAAAATAAAAGCGATATGTCAAAAGAAGGATTTTTCTCGTGACACCGCTATTAATCTCATCTATCAACAGATAGATGGGATTATCGAAAATGGGTGGACATATTATCTTGATAACTATATCTCTTGTGGATTCCGGGATGAAATCTGGTACCAATAAATAACAAACGCCAAGAAGGAATTGTGGACATGAAAGTGAGACTAACCTTAGCTCTCGACATAAGAGGGTTCGTTTGTGTCTGGCGTGCAGGGCAGTAATTGATCCGAAGGAAGAAACACCGCCATTACGGTGAGTCGGTCTTATGGGAAACGCGATCTCGTAGCTACGAGGATTGGCGAGAGGAGAACTTGGCCGTATGCAAATTGGTTGGTGTTCGCTGGCATAAAGGTGACGGCGGGAGACCACTCGAGAGATCGTGTGTAGCGAACTATGAGGCGGTGTTGTTATTGAGTGCAAAGATCAGTGGAGTTTTGAGGCGATTGTTTTTTTATTTTTTGGATAACTACGTTGTGTGTTTCGAACTGAGGTGTTGCTGTCCTTCTTACCGACAACTGAGACTGTTTGTATTTTACATAGAGTAATTCCATCGAACTGTCCAGCACTCAATGTGTTGAAGCTAAATTGTTTTGAGCAACCTGTCTTGAAACGGAGAAGTTTCTTTCTTCCGGAAGTAGGCGGTGCCGGGCCAACCCGTTCCCTTCCTATTGTTTGTTCCTGATTTTACATACAGAAATATAGGAAAATAATGTATTAACGTAATAGTACAAACTGGTAATGCAGGTTAGTAGTCCCAGGAATACGGGTCAGTAGCAAAATATCTATATAGTCTTTGGTATTGAAATATCGCTTTATGACTTCTTACTGAGTCTACGTGCTCGCTCACGGTGACTCTTGGTCGCTACGTTCGTTTTGTCACTTTACTCTCACTCTTCCGGTTATCTACAACCTTTCACTCACCTCTCTTCCGGTCTGTCTCCCGTCTTGCTCTCCCGGTCTTCGCGTAACAGTAGTATATGTATATAATGGGTGAGTTCATTTGTATAAAAAGGGGAGGACCCCTCAACAATATCGATCCAGATCAAAGAAGCATTTTCTTTCCTGTGACACGGCTTTCTTTCCAGCCTAATAATTTTCTTTGCTATCTCTCTCTCTCTCTCTCTCTCTCTCTCTCTCTCTCTCTTTCTGTCTGTCTGTCTGTCTCTTTTAAAGCCGGGGTTTCCTTGACATTGCTACAAGTTACTATTAATATGTCGATGACATTACTCGATATTTAAATTGTGCCTTAAATTATCACTTTTCCACTACTGAACCCATTCTTACGTTATTTAACATGTTTGACAAGTGATCTTCATTTTAGTGTTGTTTTTAATCAAATCATTCTCGGCCAAGTCGAATACAGCCAGAGCATTAATTATGTCACATATCCTGGGAGCTTGTATTTCAAGTACGACCCTTTAACTCCTTCGGACACATAGGTTAATGGTTTAGCAAGGAGAAAGTTTAGTCATCTTTCTAGTCTGCCGATTTTCTCACGTCATATTAAGTGTTCGCAGAGACCCGGATAATTGACACGCAACCGAGACATTGGCGGGAAATAGTCTCGTGCGTAGCGACCCTATGACCGAAACCGCCTTGAGTGAAGACATAGCTAACACCAGGGAAACACATCTCTTTCTCCATTTGCTCGTCAACTTTGCTATTCACCTTCACTCTTTCTTCAATTAACACTGAGGACGATTTCGAACCATCAGAAGCAACAACTGTCTAAACAGTGACATCAGTTGGTTTCTTTCGCTTGTTCTGACATCTTCAAGAATGTCTCCTGGTGAAGTTGCGTAAATCCTATAGTTTTTTCGTAGATGACGGAAGCCTCCACAGGGAAAAAAAAACTTAGTTAGCACGATACATTCGCTATTAAAATATGTTCCCCAAAACAGAAATTACTTATGACTCAACGTAATCATATATTTATTATATTTATCCGATAGATATTAATATTGACGTACAAATTATAATTTGACATAGATCAAGTCAAATTGTCAGCTGATATCAAAAATGATCTACAATCTTTTATTAACTGAGACAAGAAATAGTTTGTTAATTTTAACGCATCTAGAACAATTGTTATATGAATACTGGACGGCTGTATTGAACCCAATAACGGACTCTTTATCCTTTAATATTTGTCACAAGCATATATCTTGTATTATTGTTTTTTACCTTTAATTTATTGTAGGTTCGCCTATCGCCCGGTTCAAACTCCTCCACGGTCTTTTAAATAGAAGTAGAGGTTTATCTCTTGTTTCCTTTTTAAGATTAGGTCCTCGATTTCGTCAAAAAAATTACTTTAAATCTATTCTTCAAAATTCTCCGCCTAAAATCTGTATTTTTTACTATTTATTTATTTTTCCTCGATAGAAGCCGATAGTTTAGCTGAAACTGCTCCACGGTTTTTTGAACAGGGGTATAGGTTTATCCCTTGTTTCCTGTTTAGGATTGGACTTCCGGTTCCTTATAAAGTCTTTTTTCATTCTCTTCCACTCCTCAGTGACCCCTTGCGCATTAGTGGCATCATCGCCTTTGTTTGGGGTAAAATCATTAAAGAAGATGGTAAAGCAAATTTTCCATTGGTTCTCAAGAGAAAAAAAAAAGGCGTTTTGATGTCGGATATGTTAGTGACGCTTCTCAAAGCTAAAGACAATGTAACCAGTGTTGAATAGAAATGAGACAGCACTATAAACAGACATTTTAAAAGTATATATAAATATATACAAGAAATATATAACTAAAGGAATGAAGAGAAAGCCTAAGAAAAAAATTACTCACCGTAAATATTCGATTGAAAAAATACAACAAAAATAACCAATCCAGGACAATATATATATATATATATATATATATATATATATATATATAAGCGTTTCACCCCAAGCAAGGCGGGAAGCCACTATGACGCAAGGGGTTACAGAAGATTTGGAGCAAGATCAGATAGGAGTGATAGAGGAAAGGATCAGGAGAAGGATAGTGGATAGATCACGGTAACTGGAGATGTCGATTGACATTATATTTGAATAGTTGGAGATTATAGCTCTCAGGGAAACTGGAATAAGGAAGGGAGTTCCACAGGCGAGAGGTGCGAGACATGAAGCTATTGGAGTAGAAGAGACGGCTACATTTAGGAGTTTTGACAGTGAAAGGGTGAGAGCGGGATGCCAGCCTCGTAGGGCGCTTGAACTCATGAAGTCTGGGAACCAGCGAATATATATTTTATACATTTATATATACATTTAAAATATTCATTTTTAAAGACCTAAGAAGAAACAGCCTTCCCCTGTCAGCGCCACATTAGAATCAGCCTCTCTCATATTGATCTCATCAGCTATCAGCGAGGGAGCATTCCGCTTTCGATTTTTCTTCGAGGAAACAAACAATATTGTTGCTATCTATCTATCTATCTATCTATCTATCTATCTATCTATCTATCTATCTATCTATCCCAGTCTGCTCATATCTATCTATCTATCTATCTGTACTATTCTGATTATCTATCTATCTAGCTAAATAACTATTTTTCTATCTATGCCATTCTGATTATCTATCTATCTAGCTATTTATCTATCTATATAAATTACTAGTTTGCTTTCTATCTATCTATCTATCTATCTATCTATCTATCTATCTATCTATCTATGTGCTGGATGTCTCACCAAGAAGTAGTCTTACGGACTTTTACGAATGTATTTACTGGGTATTGCGCACTTGGGGGTCTTGTGATTTGCTAATCTAAACTTAGTAAATATTAAAGTCGGAAATTATAGAATAAATTAAATAACCGTAAAATGATTTTTGGATATGTTCTCAAGGGACTATAAGCAATGTTTCTCTCAATAAAATTTGTTTGTATAGAAAGAATTTATATCTGTCTTGTCAAAATTCAGTTGTAAGTTAGTAAACCTACAGCGTTCGTAGTAATAAGCATTGTTGTCATCTGATATTTCATTTTTTTTTCAAATTAGTCGAACGGAAGAAAAATTATTTGTAATTATCTTAATAAGTCAAAGTAATATTTTAGATTTTCTTGAAGCTGTACGGAATTATTTAAATAAGTGAAAAATAGTAAAATTTCTGATTGTTATTTTATTTAATTACATTGTTATTTATTTACGGTATTTATATTATTTGGAATATTGTTTCTTATTTTTATTGCCATATTCACGACGTTTCGGTTGTTGTACGCTGTCGGCCTTCTTCAGGTTATATTTTTTGTAATTTCGAACCGAAAACTTTATTGAGACTACGCGAGTGGATTGTGCTAATTCCAAGTACCATTCCTTTGGATATCTCAGTTTTAGTTAATTCCACTTGATAAAAGTTTTTGTTCCCTCTACTGTGGCCAGATATTGAACTTACAACTCTTGAGACAAGTCTTTTTTTTTTTGATCACTCAACTGAAGCTTTTATCTACTGGGCCATAAGTTATTATTATTAATAGTAATATAAAAATATTAGAAAATTATTCAAATGATCCTCACATGGTCAGCTTTATATAGCTATATCCAGAGTAGGAAATTTAAGCGGACTTAGAAAAAATTAAAAAAAAAAAAGGAAAAAGAAAATAGTTGTCTTGGAGAAAATGTGTTTACAGACATTTTATGGAGGTAAAAGAATCTCTTTTACAATTACCATTTGTCGGTTTGTAGTATCTATATTCGGCTCGTTATTTAAAATTCTCTTTTGAATAATGTTGTTCCAACCTTTTTAAAGTATACTTCACGCAGGTATTTCTCCAAGTATTTTCCCGCAGGGTTTGTTTTTAAAAGTTTCTGCTATGCAGTATTACTTGGCATAGCGATAGCAACTAAATGAGCCACTCGTTCAATGAGTGGTTCATTTAATTGGGACCTCATTTCACTGCAGAGATTTTCGAAATCTAGCTACCTTTCCCAGCTCTTGGAATGTAGACACACCTTCTTTTCACACACATACACAAATAAAACCTTCTCGTAACAGTCTAAAAGAAGCATACACAGGAAAACAGAAATAAACAGAATTTTCACACAAATACTCACAAAGCATGCAGGTTCTATCACACGAAATATACAATAATATATATCAAATATCAACAATATATATATTCGTTTATCTGAACATTATTTAAAATACTAGTGTGCCTTTGCAGTAAAAATGACAGCAATTGTAAAATAGTTTTAATAGTGAGATGCAAAGAAACAAAAGTCTTGAAATAATTTATTGAGTTTCAATAAAGCGAAATAAAGAATTCACAAGAAAGAATTCATAACTAAAATAGATTCCAATGAACCATTTAATAAATCAGTTCCCTTTATATTTTTAAGCGTCAGATGGTATGTTTCATTACATACTGGTATTATATAAATCGCTTTTTGCTCAATATATTTTCATGTTTAAAAAATTATGTGACCGACTAAAAGGGCCACGGCAAAGCCTATTTCAAGACCAATTTGAAGCAAGATGTTCACTTAATAGATAAAAGTATCTGAGTGCCACACATGAAAGGCTTGAACAAATAAGACTGCGGTTTAACGTGGGATCTCCGAGCCCCTCGGCTAGACCAAAAATAATCCCTTTTTGAACCCGCATACACAGTGTCAGTCAACTTCCCCGAACGAGACTCTGCCCTTCGGCAGAGCCTCGTCCGGGTTCCTCTCCGCCCGAAGACAGAGAGTTCGACTGTTTAGCTGGAACAGGTCAACTGTAGACAGCTCTCTTGAGAGGCATAATCTCCCCGTATATATAGTAATAGAACGAGTCCATTTAGTCCATAAAGGTAGGTCCCAGAACACCCTCTCCCAAGCCTTTACCTCTGCAGGAGTCTCAATATCGTCTCCTTTTTAGATTGATGACGAGAGGTTCAGTGGACTTCCGCTTTCTTTTAGATCGTCGCGGTTCTGGAGCTGCTTGGGGTATTTGAATGTCGAAGGTGTCGTAAATAGTGTCCATAACTCCTTCTTCTTCCTGGGAAGTACTGTTGCAGTCATCCAACAGTCGTTTCCTGATTTGATTCAGGTGTCTCTTATGAGAGAAACGAGGGCCTTGGATTATGTAGACCATATTTCCAAACCTCTTTTCTATCGTACCAGGTTCCCAGAAAGATGTGTTATTTTTAAACATCTTGAAGAATACTTTTTCCCCTGGGCTGTATTTTTTCCTTGGTACAATAGAGGTCGGACCTTGTTTTGTTTGTTTGGGCAGCAATTTATCAAAAACGGATCTTACTTTACGCGCAAACATTATTTCTGCCGAAGATAGTGAAGCTGACGCGTTAACATTTGACGGGATCCTGTAAACTTGTAAAAACTGCTTCAGGGGCTTTTCCTTTGAGGTGCCGCAAGCTTTTTTCAGGGCTCTTTTTAGGGCGTCTACGAAGCGTTCTGCTTGACCATTCGACCTCGTGTGATATGGCGGGGGGTCGTAATGTATTTTACCTGAGTCGGTCGAAGTAAATTGAGTTCCGTTGTCACTGACCAAGCAATCTACTAACCCAAAACGAGCGAATAGTTCGTGAAGGTAGCTTATTGTTGCCTCCATAGTGGGATTTTTACATCGGAACACTTCCGGCCATTTTGAATAACTATCTACTAGAATTAGATAGTAGAATCCCTCTAGCGGTCCCGCAAAGTCCACGTGGATCCTTGACCAAGGTCGGTCCGTCTTTTGCCACGGTTTATGTGTGATAGGTGGTGCTTTTTCCGCCAATGCACAACCCTTGCATGTGTTGACCCTATTTTCGATGTCCTAGTCCATTTTAGGCCAGTATACGTAGCTGCGCATTAGATTTCTCATCCTATTTTTCCCTGGATGCCCAATGTGAAAATCCTTCAGGATTCTCTTCTGTAGGTTTTTTGGAATGACGACTCTCTCGCTGTATAGGAGTACCTCGTCACATAGGAAAAAATTGTCTGATATGTGTTGGTCCTTCTCTGAAATTTATGTATTTATTGCGCTAAGGAATTCATCATTTCGGGCTTTAGGTTTTATTTCTTGTTGCGTCACAGGATGTTCTCTTATAGTGCTACACAATAAAGTTTTTATTCCCCCCCTCTTTTCGTAGTGAAGCGATCACAGAATCTTCTAAAGGTTCCCTATGTCTTGGAACCAGTCTAGAAAGTCCGTCAGCGTGACAGATTTTTTTTCGAGGGGTGGTATTCCAACTTGAAATTGTAATTTAGGAGAATTATCCCCCACCTCAGCAGTCTGTTTGCCGTATAACCGGGTAATCCTTTGTTTGACCCGAAAATACTGAGTAGCGGTGTATAGTCCGTTTGTAATGTAAAAAATCTTCCGTGTATGTAACGGTGAAATTTCGTGACTGCGAATATGATTGCTAATGCTTCTTTTTCTATTTGGGAATAGTTCTTTTCCGCTGGGAGCAGGGTCCTTGATGCATGAGCGATGAGCTTTTGCATTCCATTTGGCATTTTATGAAGGATGTACGCTCCTATTCCATGCGAGCTTGCGTCGCTAGTAACAAGGATCTCGAGGTTCGGGTCGTAGTGCGTAAGGAATAAATCCGATGTTAGGACTTTGATAGTTCTCTCGAATGCCTCTTGGCATTCGGGTGTCCATTCCCAAACCTTATCTTTCCTTAAAAGCTCGTTCAGCGGGGCATGGAGGTTATGCATATTTGGGATAAACGCTTGGTAGTAATTCGCTAACCCCCAAAAGCTCCGTAGCGCTGTGACGTTTTCAGGAGCCGGCATGTCCTTAATTGCAGTGGTCCTTTCTGGGTCCGGTCTCCTAACGTCTTTGTCTATGATGTGATCCAAATATTTGATTTCTTTCATGAAGAAGTCACATTTGCCTTCCTTTATTTTGAAACCATAGTCTTCTGTTCGTGAAAATACTTTGTGGATGTGTTCCCGGTGTTGTTCCAAGCTTTTACTGTTTCTCAAGATGTCGTCTCGGTAAGCCATTGAAAAATCAAGTCCACTCAGTATGGTGTCCATAACCTTCTGAAAAATGGCTGGTGCAACTTTGACTCTAAATGCAAGCGTTTCAAATTTGTATAAGCTTCTATGTGTATTTATACATAATAATTCTGAGCTTTCTTCCTCAACGAGTATCTGGAGATAATCTTCGCTGAGATCGATTTTCGAAAAGAACTTGCCTCCATTATGTTTTGTAGAAACTTCTTCCTCGCTTGGAAGTGGGTAGTGATAATCTTTTAGTGCTGCGTTTAGTCCAGTAAAAAATCTGCGCACACCCGGATTTCCTTAGACTTCTTCTTTGCATACACTACTGGTGCTGCCCATTGGCTATATTCCACTTTAGATAAAATGTCAGTCTCTACAAGTTTGTCTAATTCCGTCTAACGAGGCGAAAGGCACATTCCTTTTTTTCTTAAATATTGGTTGAGTGTTCTCTTTTAGCACAAATTTTGCTGACATCTTTTTGCATCTACCAAGGCCAGCCGAAAAGACCTCAGGGAAGGTTTCTTTTAATTCATTTCTTAGTTTATCTGACTCGGTCGTCAGATTTTCTACTTTCTGACAAAAATATTAATTGGCAAATCCCACAGATTGAACTGTGCCAAAGAGATTGTCTGTGTTTTTTAAAACGAACATTTTTTAATTTTTTGGTTGTTCCGTTCAAAGTAACATTCGCGATAATTTCACCCTCAAACTTAATTTTTTTTACCGGTCACCAACCTAGATATTTTGCCGGTTGTTAGCATAGTTGGTTTATTTAACCTTTTCCAAGTATGTAGGTTGATTATTGATAAATCAGACCCAGAGTCTAATTGTAACC